TTTAATTCATTAACTATTAGATGTAATTCTAGAACAGACCCGGAAACATGCAGATAGCAACTACACAGTTTACTGAAAGAATAAAATGTAATTCCAAAGTAAAGGGTGGTTTTTATAGTAATAGCTGAGCTAAACACAACCATCTTAAACTAACTCAGGCTCAGCCAAGTTCATTAGTGAAAGTTGAAGCTTCCTATGATTAGCTTCCAATCTAACCCAAAAGCTTCCTAAGAGTTGGTTGATACTGCTCAGGGGTCACAATTAGGACCTGGGTGTCTTTTACCAATGGCATGAAGCTGTTTCTCTCAATTGCTTAACATCAAATATGGGTAGGTGGCTGTGGTTCCTCACTTCTGACCACTGCTCTCACTCCTCACAAGATCCCTCTTCTCACTTCTCCTTCATCTCTGCTCTGAGATCACACTTGAAGGACTAGGGAGCCCCCATTGGGAGGGGCCAGAATAGGGGAAACAGCCCTACTATCTTTCCTTCCAGATTAACTTCTCTAGCCAAGTTCCTAATACTAGGACCCTGAGAGACTGTTTCCCCATGGAGAAATGTTTTTGGAAAATCCTACAACAACAACAAAAATCTGACTAGCTGAGCATGGTGACATATGCCTTTAATCCCAGCACTCAAAAGACAGGGGCAGAGCAGGTGGGTCTCAGTAAGGTCAGCCTGGAGAAATAGTGAATTCCAGGCCAGCCAGGGTTACATAGTGAGTCCTTGTCTCAAAAAACCGAACAAACAGGGCTGGAGAGATGGCTTAGACATTAAAGGCTAGGCTTACAACCAAACAACAACAACAATCAAAGAAACAGAAGACTAAGTGCTCATAGGAGTAGGGATTGTGACTGGTGGCTGTGAGGATTGAGATTCAGCATTCATTCTGATTCTTCCTCCTACACAACATGGAGTCAGAAAATTCTTCAAATCCTAGCTAGGCGCTGAAACCATGACTCTGATAAAATCATAACTACTAGAGCTTCTTTTGTAAAATGGGTTGGGCAGCCGGGTATGGGAGCAGAGGCAAGATCTCTAAGAGTCCAAAGACAGCCTGATCTACACAGTTCCAGGAGAGCCAAGGCTACATAATAAGACCCTATCTTTTAAAAAAGGGGGTAGAGGGCAAAAAATAGGCTGACCTTCACAAAGGTTGTCTTGATTTCTTCCAAAGGACCTACGGGGCCTTGGGCAGGCAACAGGAAGAAAAGTTCTGTCTGGGAGCCTCAAAGATGTTTACGAACTGTTGAGCCCATTAATACCAGGAAGCCATACCTTTGTTTCTCCACCTTTAAAGCTTCTGGCAGGGTTTGGCTATGGGGTTTCTCAAGCTCTAACTCTGAGATTAAGACCTCAAAGTGTTTAATATTCACCTTCCCTGCTTCAAGGGAATGATAGGAGGGCAAAGCAAGCTCAGAGTTGTAGAAGGGCTTTGAAGAAGAAGGCACACACAAACAAGGTGTTAATTATACCAGTCATTTCTTTGAGCTCAACTTCATAGCCGCTTGTAATATTCCTAACCCAGGGGCAAGGAGGGATGGTTGTAATATGAAAAGTATTGTTTGTTCGGCCACACTTGAGGGTTTGTTTGTACCCGCAGGATAACCCTTTCTATCTTGTCAGATTCAGGGACATTGATGTTCTAAAGTGGGAACTAGGGTGGTGATAGCAAAGTAGGAACATCTCAGCAGCTGAAGACCATGAGTAAATACATTGGGGAATAAGACATATATTTTTGTTGTTTGGGAGTTTCATTCATTTCAATTTTTAAATTTTAGTTGTGCAGGGGCTGGAGAGGTGGCTCAATGGTTGAAAGCACTGGCTGCTCTTGCAGCGGACTCGGGTTCAATCCCAGCAACCACATGGCAGCTCATGACTGTCTGTTAACACCAGTTCCAGGAGAACGGACACCTTCATACCAATGCACATAAAATAAAGTTAAATAAAATTTTAAATAAAATTTAAAAAGTAGTTTTCAGTGCTAAGGATCATTCCCAAGGCCTCGTTCTGCCACTGAGCTATATCCACAACTGTATTTATTTATTTTCTTTAAGAGATAGAATCTTGCTAGGCAGTGGTGGTACATGCCTTTAATCCTAGCTCTCTGGAGGCAGAAGCAGGCTGAACTCTGTGAGTTCAGCCAAGGTGACATAGTGAGACCCTATCTCTATAAAACCTATTTGTGGCTAGTGTGCATCCCGGAGTCTATTCTCTCCTTCCTCTATGATTTCCTGAGATTGAATTTAAATTTTCAGGCTTGCCCAGCAAGATTTTTCACCTTAGAGTGTGTGTGTGTGTCTGTGTGTGTGTGTGTGTGTGTGTGTGTGTGTTTGGGGTAGATGGTAGATGGTTGATGGGGTTCACAAGGCCAACTTGCTCTACAGAGTGAGTTCCAGGACAACCAGAACTGCACAGAGAAACCCTGTCTCAAAAAAAAAAAAAAAAAAAAAAAAAAAGATATGGAATCTTGGGTTGGAGATTTAGCTCAGTGGTTAGGACCTGCAGTTGCTCCTGCAGAGGACTTGGGTTCAGTTTCCAGCACTCATATCCGGTAGCTAACAAGCACTATACCTTCAGTTCCAGAGAAGTGGAGCCTTCTTCTGGCCTCCGTGAGCACACATGTGGTGGACATACATACTTGCAGAGTCTCTCTCTCTCTCTCTCTCTCTCTCTCTCTCTCTCTCTCTCTCTCACACACACACACACACACACACTCTCTCTCTCTCTCTCTCTCTCTGTCTCTCTAAGGTGAAAAATCTTGCTGGGCAAGCCTGAAAATTTTCATTCAATCTCAGGAAATCATAGAGGAAGGAGAGAATAGACTCCGGGATGCACACTAGCCACAAATAGGTTTTATAGAGATAGGGTCTCACTATGTCACCTTGGCTGTCCTGGAACTGGCTCTGTAGACCAGGCCGGCCTCAAACTCAAGAGAACACCTGCCTCTGCCTCCTGAGTGATAATATTAAACACATGCACCACCACACCAAACTAACTAAAAAAAAGAGAGATATTGGATTTTGCTACATTTTTTATGTTGGCTCTCAATTCCCAGGGTCAAGGGATGCTGTCCCAGCCTCTGGGGTAGCTGGGACTACAAGCATGCTGTCTAACTTGGACAATCTCAACATACTAGCACCATACCAGCCCAGAAACTTGCTCTATAGTGACTTCCCATTTCCAGGGACATCTACCCCAAGCATTGGTAATGTTTGCAGGGAAAAGCCCACTCTTTGTCTTATAAACCAGGTGCGTTCTTGGCACAAACCTACCATTTTCACAATCATAAACCAGACATCCGAGAAAGCAGAATTACCTTAAGAAAAAGAAAGTTTTAAAATTGGTGACATCACCAGGAAGCACTGGCCAACTCAACTATGTAATCAAAAACCTGATCAGCACTTCTCCACAACCTAGAGCCAAATAAAGTGACAGCTAATCTGATTATATATATCTTCAGTAAGAAAGACATTCACAACTCAAAGCGTACCTGCTAGGAATACAGCAGAGAATGTGATGGTGGGGTGGGGGTGGTGAGGTGGATTTGGCAGAGGTCTGGTTAGCCATAGAGCTTCCTCAGGGAGCTGGAATTGGATTTGGGGCCTTGCCCAAGTTAACATTTTTACAGGTTGGCTCAGTTGCAGTTTGTTAGCCCGCCAGTAATAAACCCATGTGCAAAAATTTAAAGTTTATGAGCCATGGCCTCTTAATGCCTAGGCTCCGGCTCCCTACAGCCAAGCCTTTAAGGAACCTAGCCTCGCCTGGGTGTTAATTATTTTGTCAATCTGCAGTTATTTGAGAAAAGTTTTTTTTTTTTTTTTTTTTTTCAGACTGAAGGGCCTCACTATTTTTTTTTTTTCTTTTTGAGAAACAAAGGAGAGTCCCTTAAGCTTATACACCTCCATATTTAAACTGTGAACATGTGTATGTAGGGGGAGTGTTTGATGGAAGCACTAAAAAAATGCTAGGTGGCAAATGTTTTGAAAGTCGTTTTAACTATAGATTCCCTCCCCAGAAAAATGCATGCAAAAGTTCTCTGGAACTTCACTCAAGGATCCGGAGTTACTCCTGATTTAAAAACGCGGGTTTGAGCTACAGAAACAACTCCATTGTCCCCCCACCAGCTGGTAGATGCTCGGGTCTCATGGCACACGGGTTCTCAGCACCAAATGACCCTCCACTTTCAAGTTTTTTTTTTTTTTTTTTTTTTTTTTTTTTTTTTTTTTAATAGTGAAAAAAATAACTTGAATGGAGAAAAGTGCAACAGAAAGATCAAAATGTGCTTTGATCGTTCACTCACAGTCTCCGTCCGGCTTGGGACACAGATGCGTCCCCCACCCCCACCCCGGAGACTCAAGAGATCGAACATCCTACTACCAAGATGCTTGGAGTGCGGGACCTAGTGTGTCTCCCATGCGTGATGGCCTTCTCCCAGGTATGCCAGGCCATCCGCAGGCAGCTGCACGGGCGCAGACCCTCCGGGAAGCGCAGGGTTAAGAGTGCATTCCAGCCGGGGAAGAAGGGGGGCGGGGAGGGCAGCCCAGAGAAGAGAAACAGACCCCGTCTGTCTGTCGGAGACACAAAGCACGGTTCACAAAGGGGGCCCGAGGAGGGCGAAGGGGGCTGGCCGGGGCACCGCTCATCCCCACACCTGCGCGGGGGTGGTGGGAAGAATGTGCATTGCGCATTCCTCGGCTGTGGCCGGCGCGGGAGGTTTTCCACGTCGGGGCTGGGTGAGGGGCTCTGCCGCGAGGCACTAAGAGGTCAAGACAAGCAGCGGCCAGGAGGAGCTGGACGTTAGTGGGCGCACGGTTGCTCAGTCTTCTCGAGCCCATTCCAGCCTGGGAGCCACTTTCTGAGCTTACTCAGGAATGTGAGGTGGTCCCACAGGTCCCCAGCTCTGGTCCGGACACCCCACCGGAGGGCCACAGCAAAGCAGACCAAATGTGGTCTTCCGTACAGATGTTCCATCCAGGCTGGCTCCAGGAGAGTCTTACCTTTCCCCAGCGCTAGGCTGGGCTCCAGATCAGTTCCTCCCACCTCCAAGGTCACTTCAGCCTCCCCGAAGTCCGCCAGATAGGGCTCGGAGGCCAAGCTTGGTAGCCAGAAAACCTGTGTCTGAGAGCAGAAGGGTTAAGAGGGAGGCTTGAGTCACAGGCGTCCCCGGTTCTGCACACCCATCCATGGGAGTCCTCCCTCGGTAGGGCTCCGGGACAACCTTGGCCCCAAGGAACACAGCCTTGGGGTCCGTGCCCCACCACCCCCACCCGACGCCCGCAGCGGGAGAACCCCGCCCGCCCTCCAGGGAGCAATCTGAGTTAGGACTAGGGCAAGGCACTGTGGTACCTGAAGCAGAAGGAGCAGGGAGGCGAGAGGTCCACTAAGGAGTCCCATGACTGGAGGGAAGTGAAGAGGCTGCCGCGGTGGTAGGGACCCACTCCGCTAAGCTCTTGGTAGAGCTTTGAGCACCGCGGCTCGCCGGAGCCCGCGGGAGGAGGCCAGGTGCGCTCAGGTAGCTGCTGATTGGTCCAACGTCACAAGGTCCCGCCCCCTCGCAGGTGGGGCCGTGGCTCGCCTGCTAAAGGCACCCTCGAAGTCCCTGCGGATCCTCCCTGCTTCCCTCCTGCGTCCTCCCTGCTCTTCTGCAACTACTTCTGAAAGGTATACCCCGTGGCTCTCGCAGGTTCTGGCTTCACTGGAAGATATTAAAACAAAACAAAACCCCTAAACCACTCCACCTCAGCCTCTGCGGCAAGGGAAGACAAGTATTCCATTGCTGGCAACTGCAATGGAAAAAAAGTGGAGACGCATCTGAAACCCGACAAAAAACAGAGGCTCCCCATTCATACTGCCAGAGGCGTTGTGTTCAAAGCTTTGATGGAGGCAGGGCGTGTCTTCACACTAGCTATAGCGGAGTCGGCCCCCTGCCACTTTCTCCACCTCCCACGGGAGCCCGCTGGGAGCCTGGGGTTTTGAAACTGGCATCGAGGTCTCAGAGGACCGTGCGGCCATATACGTTTGAGAGAATAGTTACTTCCGTTTGCAGCTGAACAAATGGAAGGAAGCAAGTAGAGAAAGCCCCAGAGTTTGGAAGTGACGAGGTAGGGAGACGGTTATTAATATTTTCAGCACCCCTAATATAAATGCTTTCTCCCCCAATATAATTTTTTCCTCAATTTTATTATTTATGCAAATAATGGAGACTTTTATCTTTTTTTGGGGGGGGCATTTCCAAAACAGGGTTTCTCTGTGTAACAGCCCTAGCTGTCCTGAAACTAGCTCTGTAGACCAGGCTGGCCTCGAACTCACCGAGATCCACCTGCCTCTGCCTCCCAAGTGCTCGAATTCAAGGTGTGTACCACGACCACCCAGCTGGAGATTTTTATCTTATTTCTTGTTGTGTATATGGGCCCACTGTACACATGAGCGAGTCAGAGGAGGATTTTGTGGAGTTAGTTCTCTTCTTCCACCTTTAAAAAGGTTCTGGGGATTGAACTCGGTGCATCAAGATTGTGTAGGAAGTGCTTTTCTTGCTAAGCCATCTTCTTTGCCTATTTATTTATTTATTTATTTATTTATTTATTTATTGAAGTAGGATCTTACACTGTAGTCGAAAACTGGCCTTGACTTCATGGCAAACTTTCCATCTCAGTCTCCTAACTGCTGGGATTAAAGTCACAACCCAACATGATGAGTTTAACAATGAGGATTTTTAAAAAATCTAGTGTATCTCTGGCTGGCCTTAAACTCAATATACTGCTGGGAATGGCCTTGAACTTCTGATTCTCTGACCTCTACCTTCCTAGTACTAGGATTTCAGCATGTGTCCCCATGCCCGGTTTAAGGCGGTTATAGGAAGTGAACCTAGGGCTCCATGCATGCTAGTCAAGCAGTGTGTCATCTGAGTTACAGCCCCAGTCCCAATAATGGCATTTTTAAATGTAGGTTTTATCAGCCTGAAATACTGTGCATGATCTGAAAACTACCTGCTGTGTAATACAGCAGGTAGACTCATCCCTTGGAAGACACCTCTCCTGGTGAGCTGGGATTTATTCTTCTATCTTGGTCTTTCTACTATATTGGACAAGAATAGATGTCCTTGAGGTACTCTGGGGCACACAAGTCCCTTGGCAAGCATAGGCTCCAACTGTCCCACTTACATGCCCTTTCCCTATATAGGCAGCTTCCCACACCCCCATCCTGCCTCTCTGCAATGCTGGAGATCAAACACAAGGCCGAGTAAAAGCCGGGTGGTGGTGGTGCACGCCTTAATCCCAGCACTTGGGAGGCAGAGTCGGGTGGATTTCTGTGAGTTCGAGGCCAGCCTGGTCTCCAGAGCGAGTGCCAGGATAGGCTCCAAAGCTACACAGAGAAACCCTGTCTCGAAAAACCAACTAACCAACCAACCAACCAACCAAACAAACAAACAAAAACCAAGGCCATGTACACGTCAGACAAGTGCTCCAATACTGATCTACAGCTTGGCCCTGGAGCTGAGCTTTCTGAACCAACCTAACTTTTTCCCCCCCTTATTCTCTGAGCTCTCCCCATCTTCCATTGCTCCCTGGAGAACCCCAGGATTATGCCTCTCCTTCCCCTGCCTTCTCCTCCATCTAGCTCAGACATAAAGGTTTATTCATAGTTTTTTTGCTCTTCACGTATTTACCTTGAAGGGATCAGCCTCGTGACAAGAAACCAATCAGAAGTTAGCTGGTGGTGCTATGCTTTATGGCTCTGGGTGTGCTTTACCGACAAGCACACAGCAATGACACACAAAGCATAGCAACCACCCTGGGAGGGCCTATGGGCCATAACAACCAGTTGGCCAATCAACACAGGGCAAGCCCTCCAAGCCTGGAGGCACACCAATCCTGAGCCTGTGTGTACCCCTTATGCTGCCCTATAAGATCTCTTGGGAGGCCCTGGGAGCTGTCTTTTGCAAGCCATCTGCCATGGTGGGTGGGTGAAAGACCCGAGCTAACATGGGGTTAGCTCGTTAAACTACAATAAAGCCTCATGCTGTTTGCAGCAAGCTCTCTAATCTGCCTGGTGATTGGGGTGACTGAGGTCGTGGCCTGGGATCCCGGATACCTGAGTTTTCCGGGGTCTAACAAGCTGAAACTACCTGTCTTCCTACTGCAAGTCTCTGGCTGAGGAGTGGAGCTTGTGATGCAATCAGGCAAGCACTGGGTCTGCTTGCTCTACTGGGTGAGATTCAGGCTTGAATCCCACCACTTCCTGGGACAGAATCTTTACCTATCCATTGGTGTAAGGAACTATTTTGACACCTACTTCTAAAGTGCTGTACTAGAACCAGGAGTGGTGGTATATGCCTTTAAATCCCAACATGGGATAGGGAGGCAAGATGATTACTGCAAGTTCAAGGACAGTCTGGACAGTCTGCACTACATAGTGAGCCTGTGTTTCAAAACAGGTGGTTAGAATAGAGGAGATGGCTCAGTGAGTAATATGCTTTGGTAAAGTCCTATGTTCAGATCCCCAGAATCCATGTAATATGGAAAGCAGTGGTCCTTCTGTAACCTATGGAGGGATGGAAAGAGGATGTGAGACTCAAGGGAGGCTGTCAGGCCAGCTAGTGTCAAATAACAGAGAATCTGTCTCAAACAAGGTGAAAGATAGGACTGCTACCTCGGAGGTTGTCCTCCGTCAGGCATGTTGACCTCTACTTATACACATGACACATATTGCTCCCCCCCACCCCACCCCCGCACCACACACACCACACTACACTCTTAGTGTACTCGGCTGTATTAGGGATTAAGTGAATATGTGTACATGAGGATTAAAAAGATTAATGTGTTAAAAACGCTGAACTCAGTAGCTGGCACAGAGCAAGGGCCCAGTGTTTTCAGTATTAGGGCTCTAGGATGTGGCCCATTTGGCTTTCCCTGCTTTGTCAGCCAGCCGTTCCTTTCCTGGCTCGCACCCCCATTTCCACAACTAAGAGAATGAGCAGTGTCGGAATCCTTCAATTTCACGGCTGAGGGTAGCTGGCATCTGCCATCTCTGGAGTCTTCAGTGATCCGCGCAGCCCCAGCAGCCGTGTGGGAGGTGGCAACTTGCAGGAAAAGCCCAAGGCAGCTAGCTAGCGAGTGGCCCAGCTCTCCTGCTGGGGACGTTTGCCTGTGTCCTAGGTGCTTGTCCGAAATGCTGAATGGCTCTGGCCCTGAGGGGACAAGGTGGCCCGACCTATCCTCGCCCCCAAAGTTCCACCGCGCGGCCCAGAGCCAGACGAAGCCATTAGGCGCACAGTTAAACACAAATGAGCCTCGGGATACAGGCCCTAATTAAGTAAACACTCGGCTGGAGAGCTGTGGAGCGCGCTCATTTCCGCCTCCTTCCCGGGCACTCAGCATTCCGGCGGGAGGCCGCGAGCATAGCGGAGAAAACGGTACTCAGCTCTTCTGCATGCCTGGATCACGATTCTGTCTTCTGCGCAGCTTCCCCAGCTGGTCATTCATCAATTCATTCGTTTAACTGAATGAATTTCAGTCTTGAGTTCCAGTTAAATTTACCGATAACCTGGTCAGGTCAGCAGCTCTTGTCTCGAAAAAGAAAACAAAACAAAACAGACGCCCAGAACTGGCTTCCTCCACCCATAGCCAATGATGTAGGTGTAGGTGACAGCCCAGCATTATTCCTTCCAGATAGACAAACTATAAGATGTTATTGCGCCATAGAGCTCCCTGTGGACCAGGCTTATGCTACCCTCTATGGGACTAGGTCTGTGCTCACATCACCTCTTGCCCTTCTTTATCTTGCTTCTCCCACTTGGTTACCAGTTCCTCCCCATTTCTTAATGTGTCTGTCAGGTTAGGAATGTGAATTCTAATCTCAAGATTGGGTTCTTGGAATCTCATCATGGGCAGAACAAGCTTGGGACTGGAGAAAGACCAAGAGTTTCTGTTTGGTGATATTTCAGATGCCTGACATGGTATGGTGAGGAGGCTTTTTGTGTTGTGTGCTGCAGTTCAGAGCAAATGTCTGGCTGGGGATGCTCACCTGTCACAATGGGAAGACACCTTACAGTGGAAGGCTTGCCTGGCAGACTCTGGGCTTCTGGAACCTTCACATCCATATTAGTTAGTTTTCTGTCACAATAAGAAAATACTCAAGACATGCAACCTAGGAAAAGAAAGGTTCATTTGGGGCTCTCAGTTTTGACGGTTCCAGTCCACAGCTGAGAGTCCCCAAAGTTTTGGGCCTGTGCTAAAGCAGCATATCATGGCAGAGGTATAAAGGAATACAAAACCCACTTACCTCCTGGCTAGGAAACAAAGAATGGAAGAGGAATGGACCTGGTGCTTCAGGACTAGTCCCTAATGGGAGGAGGAGACATTTTTCTTCTGTGGTGTCGCCACTGGGAAGTGCTC